CCGACGAGAAAGCAACAGTAATTAATGTTCCAAAGCAAAAGTTAGCAAAAGAGCATTAAAGTTAACTTAAATATTTTTGTTCCATAAAGCAGACTCGAAAACCCAAATCCGGTATATTTTGTACAGTTGCAATGGTATTAATAAGTGGAAGAAAGATTTTGGCATTAGAATGGGATTTGGACTTGCAAATGACCGATGTTCCTTTCCTTAAATAATATACCAATTACTCTTGAAAAACAGAATCTTGAGTAATCATCTACTAATCATGTCATATTGTGAACGCACAAGTTTACTTCTGTTTTATTTACTTATTAGTGATTTTGCGATTTAAATCCCATTTATCGTAGAAAGCACCTGGAATCTATTCATATTTTTTACGTTTCCACTAGGCTTCAACGTATATTCTAAAGGACTTGTCGAAGTTTTCTTTTGATTTGCATGCATTTAAATCAACTACATTTGCGACTGAAGCATTTTAATGTAAATCACTATGTCTCAATATATCATTTATGGCAGTACCTTAACTATGACAGTGCCATTTGCATTGTCAGCTTAATCCTGATCTTTTTCGTTTTTTTTAATAAATGTATGAAAAATTATACTTTGAACGCAAATTTAGGTCTTAAAAATGTTGGAGGAAGATAGAGCTTTCACATTTCTGTTAAATTTGCTAAACTGCATATACAAAACCGGAATAATTCCTAAAGATTAGCTGAGGTTAACTTTCGTTGCTCTGCTAACTGCGGGTATTGCAAAAATTATAGAACGATCGGTTTAATGATCCATGTTGTTCTTGAAAATCATTCACTCACAGAATATCATAAAATGCAAAGAAAACATTGGAATATCTCAATTTGGCTTTAAAAGTGGTTGCGGTACAAGAGGCGCTGTTTAGTATCCAGGTTGTCATACAGCGATGTCTAGGTGTGAACGTTGATGTATATGCCTGCTTCGTAGATTACGAAAAGGCATTCGATACTGTTCAGCATAATTAATTAATAGCTACACTGAACAATATAACCCTGGACGGTCGGGACATTCGAATAATAGCCAACTTATACTGGAACCAGACAGATGACACAAGAGCTAGCGCCCAGAGTTCTGAAGAGTGCCTATTATGAAAGGAGTTCGTCAAGGATGTGTCTCTCCCCCTTTTATTTCATTTATATGCAGAAAAAATCTGCAGGGAAGCCGTCGAAGAAAGAACAGAAGGTCTAATTGTTAATGGAATACGCTTATTACGTTGCGATGTCTTTAGCATATTATTCTAAGGTGTGGAAGCGTGGACCCCCACTGAAAGAATGTGTAAGCGGATTGATGTTTTCGAAATGTGGGCATACCGGAGAATGTTGAAGATCTCATGGGTGGACATAGTGACGAATCAAGCGATCCTGCCATATATGAACAAAAAAAGTGAGGTACTTAATACAATTAAAAGAAGAAAGCTGGAGTATTTTTCCCACGTAATGAGAAATAAAAAATATGAAATGCAAGGAAAAATAGAGGGAAAACGTGGTCCTGGTCGCCGAAGAACGTCTTGACTCAAAAATCTTCGACAGTGGTATGGAGTAAGCACCACCACATTGTTTAGATCAGCTGCGGACAAAGTGAAGATGATGCGACCGATCGCCAATGTCCGGCACTTGAAGGAAAACTTCAATGAGAAGGGGCTTATATAGGTAATATGAATTTTAACAGTAAAGATAATCTAATCTAATCTAGAGATGTCGGTTCTAAGACAAGGAAATATACACGACAATAGTTTTTTGATTAAACTTATTACTAGGGAGAACACTGTGAGATTCACAGAAAATTTTGAAACGTCATTAAACAACAGAGAAAAAGCAAAATGTAGGTTTCCTCAATCCGACGGCACTTAATTATATTTCTTATAATTTTATGGATTATGTACACACTCAAGCGGAATAATTTAGTTAATCCCTGTCGGCGAGAGTTTTATACCTATACACTGTCGGTTCCTTTATATTCGATAAGACGGCTCGTTGCGGAAAGTATAAAACTCGAAGACAAATCCGAAACAAGATTCACCTCGTATATTAATAACGCAGATGCCTAATACCATTATCACTTTTACGGGTGCTTGAATATGTATTCTACATATTTATTACAATTTGTTTGATTTTATAAATGACATTCCTGCGGTCACTTAATTGTTGATCATGAACGCCAAGTTTACAAATATATAAGTTATACCAATCATTATTATTATTAGGAGTTTATTACCACTGCATAATTGCCCTTTTCTGGTATGTAAACGATTTGATAAGACACGTTTCATGATGCGGGAAGGAAATAAAAGCAAATTGAGCCAATTTGCGATTACAGTTACATTTTTTATAACCTTAATACAGTTTAATGGAAACATCAAAAAGCAGATATACAATTCAACAATTCGCCACATGTCCAAAGTTTTATGACAGGTTTTTATGCAATCGAGTAGTTCGCTCCAAGATTTAATTATATTGTAATTTACATTTTCTACAGATCTGTATTTTAAGCTTAAATAGCAATTAAACAGAACTAATTCTTAATGGAATACCCTAGTATACAAGATTGTCTAATGCTGGTGATTGCACCTGACTTTGTTGACGTTAAACTTGGCTATATTTAGCAAAGCTTCTCTCTCGCCATTCACAGTTTTAATAACAATCAATTTGAGGGAGCATTTACGACACATTGATATCGTAACAATATAAATAGACATTTTGGTTAATGGTTTTCGATCACCACTTTTCGAATTACTTCGATAACACGCAAGTTATTTTCTTACACCTCCTCCCAGTACGCAATGTTGAATTTTTGGTTCATTCTTCACTGAAAACACGCAAGGCAGAGGAGGGTTATATTAAATTTTCCCAAAATATCGCCAATCTGAATATTTTTAAGTTGGACCTAAAGTGGGTTTCAACTTTATTATTATAAACGTCCTACATATCATAGATTTTTTGAAATCCTCGGAAAATTCTATATATATTTCGCCGTTTTTAAAATATTTAAGATTCTCTGTGAAAATAAGCAGTTGACTATTTGCAAAATTTTCCTTCTTCAATCATAAGAACTTTGTCCACCGATATCTATGCCGGGTGTGTTAAATTCGACGAAAAACTGTGTTTGGATTTGATAATGTATTACAAGTTACTATTACACTTTGAAAAATAAGAAACATAATAGAAAAATCATCATACCTTTTGAAACCTTGAATGCCTTTGGAAGTACAGGTGGAAGGAACTGTTTTAGTCTTGCCGTTTTAAATTTTCAATAAATTAAAACTTGATGATGAAGGGAAAATGTCACGCAATTTGATCTGTTTGCTACCGCGTTTTGGTATACTCGGTTGATAAATTGTATTATTTTTTCTACTATTAATCATTAAAATGAGTTTTAATGAGGTTGAAGCCTCCAAAGTAGAGATTTTGTTTCTTCTTCTTTTTTAAAATCGCTGGCATGTAAATCTGAAAACAAGGACGGACACTTACGTATATAATAAATAAGACCTGTTTAACTCAAACAAACTTTTTTTCATTTTTACATATCACCAATTGTCTTGGTTCCCTATAACAATATTGATCGGGTTGTCATTTATTATTTTATAAGATTTCGTATTAAGTTTCAATAAAAACACTACACACTTACCTTCAGTTTTTAGTTTTGTTCTTAATATAATAGTCTAAATATTATAATAAAATGGAATTATTACAATTAGATTATTATAATTAGGATTGACACAATTTCAACTTTTTTCGTAAATTAAAAAAAAAACTATGTTCAAAGAAATATGTGGATGTATATTATTTAATGACATTAAAAAACTTACATTGTACACTCAGTTGTGTATTTCATTTTATTACGGGTTCTATAAAACTCTTTTACACAGAACGAACTGCATATAGTTTAAACATTTTAGACACATCTGTGTAGATTTTTTTAATAAACTGCATCACACTAATTGAAGTAAATGATCTTAGGAACCACAATTAAATATTAACATTTTGTCTAGTTTCATATTTTTTAAATATTACTTATCTCTGTAATGAAATGGAATAAAAATAGTGTAAATTTTCTAAGCTGTTTTACACTAGTAAGTACTGTACATGTTTTATGGTCTTCCCTTTCCGCAAATGTGTGTGTTGTTACAAAAGACAAAATATATATATTAACTTTAAATTATAATTAACATTATGGAACAAACGTTACAAATATCTGACAACAACAAATTTGCGAACTAGAGAAATGTTTTTGCTGCTTCAATATGACAATAACCCACCAGAAACAGCAATATGAAAGTAAATCATTTTGCTAATATTGTTATTTATTTAAAGTATTCACCTAGACACAATTACTATGTAAATTCTAATCGCAAAGTCCGTGTCAGCAATAAAAATATAAAATACTTACAAAATATAATATGCATTAATATATGGCCACAATAAATTCATATATAAGGTTTACAAAACACACAATCAAATTTGTTTAGGCAAACGTACATTTTGCTATGTATTAATAGCAATAAGCAATAATGAAAGTTAAAAATGGTTTCATATATTGTTGTGGGTTCCTTTATCTTTCCATCCAATATCCGAATTAATTGTCATCAATGCTAATTAAGTATATTGTTTAATTAGCTCATTTGCCCCACCCAGCGCGCCGCTAATGTAAGGTCCGATAAACAAATTTAAATAATTAATCAGCGATGCCTCATAAATTAAACAATCCGAAAATATATCTCAAGCATAGATTATGTGCTCCTATGGCTTAAAACTTGGATCGAACTAAAATCTCAACCTGAAAATCTAAAAATGGAATATGCAAAACACATCAGACCTGTTTGAACCGAAGATATCTGAAATCTTACCACTAATTTATGGTAATTTGATAAAAAAAAATGTTTTGGGAGGCGAGTTATCCCCACTTTTAAAGGGCGGAGTCAACAGGGGAGACGACCAAGCCGCCAGTCAATGAATTATCGAAAGGAACCGGCAAGTTCCTCGCCAGCAGTTCTTTGTTTGAGCTTGAACGCTGTTATAGAGCCGGTTTAAGTTTATGCCGGTTTTAAGTTCCTATAGTGCTCGGTTTGGTATAGATTGAACGTTTTGATAAGGATTGTTTCAGTGATAGTGCATGTGATCGAGTTTTGATCGATCGATATCAATAACGGTAAGTCAGTTTTTATTTAACCGATTATGAAACAACTACGAAGTTTTTTTTTGTTAACAATTATATCCCAAATTTTGATTAAAGACAATCATGAAAAATAATCGATCTATTTAAAAGCCTTATTAATAACAATAGGTATAGGATTTAAGGCCCCCATGTATATAAATAATAAATAAAATCTTGGCAAAATGATTTGCATAATGATTCTGAAATATCGTATTCGTTCTAAACATCTTTGCATACTTAAAACAATCAAATTAAATCAAATTTGTGCATACCAAATCATAAAGATTGTTCAATTTAATATGAGAAAAGCATATTAAAAAAATCAAACTTCGCTGACAACTGAATAAGTGCGTTACAGTGAATGTTTTAGATAAAATAAGATTTAATAAAAATTATTGCGTGAATCCCTTACATGTCCCAGTATGTATGTAGCAAGACGCAAAATCAATATAAAATAGTGCGCACATTTAACTTTGCGACCGTTTGCACAATTTTTTTAACGAGCTTGCTCAATAATATTCACGTTATTCTGCTAATTATCACACACAAAGTTAACCCTATCAAATTCTGGTTAATTATGTGATTTCTCTTCCAATAATTGGTGAACATAAAAATATCCGCATGCAATATTTTTTCACCGCTTTAAAATTGTAAGAAAGATAGTTTTCCGTGATAATTATATAACTACTTCATTCCTTCTATTTGTTATGAAGGGCTATTGACTGGTGTACAGTCAGTCCATTTTGATCTTCGCCAAAAGCATTTGCAGCACCAGGAAATATGTAAAAGAAAGTTAATAACCATTTTACTTAAATTACCGAGATTAATGATACTAATTCCAAGTATTTCAAGACACAGAATACATTGTTTTTATACAAGATGTTGCATATGTGCCAACACTTTAAGAATATTTCAAAAGCGAGGGCGACAGGATCAGTATTACTGCCAGTATTTTGATCATTTGATAAAGACACGGTGTTGCCGTAACAATTGTCATGTCAAAATATATAATTTCGTGAAGATTTGAACTTTTAGTTCTTATTTATTTTGATAAATGGGTTTTCATCAAGTAAAAGCCTCTTCAGTTCAATGTTACAAAGATTTTCTTATGGCGTCTGCTATATGTACTGTGCGTTCAATTTATCTTGATAACATTTTAATTCGCTGTAACTTTTTTTTAGAGATATGAAAGTAAACAAAAGAACAAAATGTAGGGTTATTAGCCAAATTTCTTTCCAAGTGACGTATAAAACAAAACACTATCAATTTTCTGACATAGAAGCCTACATTTTATTTTTTATATATTACATATGTGTTTAATCGAATATCTTATTCCGATTACAATCATGTAACACACTTTATATTTTAGTCCACTCGTTCTTGACAAATCGGCAAAAATATAATATCATTTTAAAAGAGTGCCGTGACTGACTACAACAACAATTATTATTTACAAATTAAAGTAGAACAAAAGCACTAAAAATGACAAGACACACTAAAGTAAAAAATTTCCCAACTATTTTAAATACTGCTGTATGTGGCCACCAGTTTCCTGAACACATTTCTCATATACTCTAATTGTATGTATTGCATTTAGTAACGTTACCGGATTGTCTCTTAACTGATTGATTGCCGAAGTTCCAAGATATTTTTCAAGGAGTTCCGTGCACGTGATTTTTTATGTGTTCCCAAAAGAAAAAAATCTAGCTGGCGAATTCATAGTTCCGCCGTTCCCTATCCTACCACTGGGATATTCCATGTTAAGAAAATTTTTAACTTGCACATTTCATCTCACAATGCTTCCGTCTTGCTGCCATATAATCGGCGCTGATATATTTAGGGGTAAATCTTCAATATATTGCCCATCTATGATACCACACACCATATATTAATTGATTGGTACCCCGGGTTTTTATTTCGTGTATTCGTGTGTCTAGGATTATTTAAAGACCAATATCACGTATTTTGTCTATTACAACCCTTTCTTGTAGTGAAGGAACTTTCATCAGTGCATAAAATGTTTTTCAAAAAATTATTATTCTCATTATGTCAAGTATAAAAAAATCCAAATAAAACTGCATCCTGCTTTGATATCGTTCAGCATTTAGTTTAATTTAGAAATTTTAATGCATTATATTTATATAGTTTCAAAACTCAGTGAATTGATCCCCGAGAAATACCTGTCCCTTCATATACTCTAATAAAGGAAACTGGATGTGCTTCATAGAATCCTAATATGTTTGCCTTATTTTCCTCATTTAGAACCTTATGATTTCGGCATACCTTTTTAGCATTCAATACGTTACATTTTATTCAAATTTCTTTGCCAGCCTTGGAAATATCTGTTTTGAAGGAGCTCGGCGCTCTGGATAAAGTCCAGTATACTGACGACGAGCTGCGGTTGCCCTTTTATTATTCAGAAAGAATAATTGAAGCATATCACTTCTTTCACGGATGCTAAATTCGCGAAAAAAAAATTTAACAATAATGTCTTGGACAATAATTCCACCATCAACTTTGTTTACTGGTATGTCAAACATAAACATATTTTTATTTGCCAGTCAGGGCACCCTTTGATAATTATATAAAAATTACCTATTTTTGCCGATTTGTCAAGAACGAGTGGACTAAAATATAAAGTGTGTCACATCATCTTCATCGGAATAAGATATTCTATTAAACACATGTATAATATACAGGTTGTTCCAGAAAATTCATGGTGTTTTGTTTTATACGTCACTTGGAAACAAACTTTTGTTTTTTTTTTGTTCACCATGATATCTCTAAAAACAAAAAAGTTACAGCCAATTAAAATGTTATTAAATAACAACTTATTCCATGTCTCTTACAACCTAATCTAATCGAACTCAATATTAATCATTCGTTAAATGGTAACGTACTCTTTATTTGCAGTTTTTTATTTTAAATGGTTATTGCATATATTTTCTTATACAAATTTTGTGATAATTTATATACAAATAAATTATTTTTTCAAAAGTTTAACATTTGGTTTTACCTGAAAAAATTCATATTTTACAAATTCTTTCTTTTTCAGTTTTCCATAATACAATAATATATAGTGTACTAAAGTATTTTGCTCTAAATTTAACTTAAACATTTTAAAACCAAATAAAGTTTAATTGATTTTATTATAATCCAGAGAGGTAACTTGGAGGTAAATTATAATATATTGATTAATTAATAAAAAAAGGCTGGAATGACAGTTATTTATTAATTATTAAATGGCATTGTGATAGTTATATCATAAACTATGGAAAAGTTTGAATTTCAATTTGATAATCAACAATTGTTATGTGGTGTTAGCAGCAAAGTAATTTTTCTGTGCCTTAAGGAGAGATCTTCATTCATAGCGGGATAATGTCGCTTTGTGTAAAGTAATAAATAGTGTTATATTCAGGTACTTTGAAAAAACATTAATTTTATATATTTATTATTTTATTAAGATGTTTTTATTGCATCAGAATATAAGAAAAAACTCTCTTTGGCTTCAATAAAGGATCTAATAGGAAAAATTGATTACAGCTTCCAAAATTCATATTTGACGTAAAATTTAAAACAATGAAAAAAAGAACACGAGGTGACTCCTTTCAATTACACAACTTTCAATTTTCTTATTTGATAACATTTTAATCACAAGAAAAATTGCTTTTGGAGTTAAAAGGATTTCTGCAGATATTTGAGTCAGTTTAGGATGAATCAAATTGTACGAACAATTTTAAGGAAGGCAATATGGTTGATAAAAAAACGTAGATCGGATATCGGCTCAAGCAATTAAGTTTTAAGTGTATTTCTTGGTATTTTAGGCCATAAATTTGCTATAAAAACGGATGGAACAAGTTTGGGCGCCGGTGTCTGAGTCGCCGCACCGATGGTCTATAGAATTTTTTGGCCAATTACGTTCATAAATCTTTTGGGCGCGTGCCTATCGCAGATAAGAATCACAGGTAGGCCCAGTGTGGGTGCTTCTTTTTTTCCTTGTATTTGAATGAAGGTAGAACAGCACCAGAAGGCCAACTTATCCGAGAGCTTTTCAGCTACAATTTCCTTTTAGCAGTGTAAGGTTTGTCAAATTGGTATATTTCTTTGTAACAATGCGTCACTTCTATTTCTCGGTCTTTCTTCAATAGCATATTATATAATATAATCTGTAAATGTGTAAATCTATTGTGAGCTAAACTTCAGCCTGTTTGATAGCCTTAGATGTTTTCCTTGACGGTAGAAGGGAATAATAAAAAACTTTATAAAATAAAACTTTCCAAATATTAACGCACCTACTCAGTAATTCTAAGCATAAGACCCATCAACTGCTTAGCACCTTCTATCCTTTCTGGTGAGTATATCATACCAATAACATAAATGCCATTTTTATCTTACTGATAACTAAGTGACATTTTTGGTAGAAATGCTAAGCGAACACTCGGATATTTTTAAACAAATATAGTAAAAACCTAAAAATAAAGGTTTCAGAAAAGTTATTCAATACAAAGTAGTTAGTTTGGAATCACTATATTGAAGGTCACAGGGAAATAAGGAAGCAAATGTCAATAAAATTAACCACTCACACAAAGTTTTACTAAAATTCTCAAAAAACCCTATATAAATCGGTGAGGCTAGCATAGCATTCATTTTTGAGAAGTGTCTGTTTAGTTAAACATTAATTTCTATGCAATTTCGTGCAAAGTAAACTTAATGTATGGATATTGTGCATAATTGCTTGAGTACTTAATATGAAAAGCTAACTTTAGTCAGATCTTTATTTATAAATGTTGATCCAATATATACGACCTATGTACTTTATTTGAAATTTATCTGGTGTTCATTTATCTGGTATTCATATACCACCATATTTTTTTTTAATAAATAGTGCCTGAATTAAATTTTATCCTTATTGTTATTATGCTGCTGGATAGGTTTTCATATTAACAAGAGTGGAACCGTCTTTTTCATTTCCAGCATCTTCAAAACTTCGTATT